TATTGTTTTCAGCAATTCAGCAATTAACTGCAATTTGTATTTTCTTTAAAATAAAGCTTAAAACATGGGTTTTGAGTTTTTATTCTTAGCTTTAGCTGGTGCAATATTAGCTGTTCCTCGTGAACAATATTAGTGTTTGTTCCTGTTTATTCCAATACAAAAACCTTCAATCTAACAGAGGAATGAACATAAAAGAAGCCAATAAATAACCTAACTGTCCCTGTTTGAAATCATATTCCCATGTAAATGAGTCAGATTATGGATGCTAATGAGGAAACATGACTCAGCATCGCAGCAGCTTGAGGGAAACTGTTCACAAGTGGTCGTTTTTAATTTGCAACTGGTGAAAAAGCAAACAGATGAGGATGAAAGGCGTCGGGGGAAACGAGCACGGATCAGACGTGTGTGCAGGTGAGGTGAGGTTCTGAGTCTGCAGCGTTACTTAATGTCCACTTCTATAAATGACCCGGGCCGTCCAGCTGGGATCAGTGGCTGTCGCCACGATCTCTCCGTCTCTGCGACCCACGCAYGTCTGAGCGCGGGGTGGGGGGGGCCTCTCCTCAAAAGTCAAATGTCAGATGTTATCCGTCCCCGGCTCGCAGAAAGAGGACCCGGTGTGCYGTCAGGAGCAGCGCCGGGTCTCAACCAGCTGAGAAACAGAGGCCGCTGCTGCCCAGCTGGTGACGGAAAAATAACATTACTGAGCTTTTTTTTCTCTCTCTCTCTCTGTGCTGGAGCGCTGAGAATATCATGACTGCACCATGACAACCATATTACTGATTTAAAGCTCACAGTTTTTAACTCTTGCTTATTTATACTTTCACACTCATCTTGTCGTAACGCAATGGAATCGTTAAAGTCCAATAAATGTAAAGTTTGAACAAAAAAGAAAAAACAAATGAGAGAAAATCTACAAATCTTAAAGCAAGRTAACCACTTCACAACCACTGTTTATTCCTTAAAGCGGGCTAACTCTTTTACAGCTCCTGTAAAGGAAAAATAAAAATAAAGTCCTGAACACCAAAACAAACCTTGTTTCTACAAAAGCAGCTGGTGCTCACATGCAGGTAACTCACAGACACCTGTTTCATATTTAAAGTCTAAATTGTGATGACTGCAGGTAAACAGATGTCGCTTGGCTCTTTCTCCTCTTCTAAAAGGAGCTGCTCATTAACAGGGTTTACAGCTTATTTAATGAAAATGATATTAACTAGTAGCTAGTTCGTCATAAGCAAATGATTTCGGTTAGCAAAAAAATTAACATTTCATGCAAAAATGCAAAGTGAACAGCAACTCCTKAATGACTTTGCAGAAATCTGTGACCAAAATGAGCAAAATGAAACCAGACTGCAGTGAAGAAATATGACTATACAGATTTCTGTAGTTTTATTTTGTTTATAAATCAGTGTCCATAACCACATCTAGAGATCCAAGAAACTAAAGTAGCTTTAAATTGATGTTTTATAATC